GTTAGATGTTGGTTTGTTACAAGTCTGAGGTATGAAAGAAAGGAAAATTTGAAGTGTGAATATAACTGTGCTTGTATCTTTTTGTAGTATCTCTTTGAAGTTGATCTTAGTTCAAGTTGCCCTCTTCCTTTGTTGTTTCCAAATTAGATAACCCATGAAATATATTGCTTAATGTGATCTTGTGTAAGGATGTCAACATAATATCCTTTGACAGTTGTATAAATATTGTCTAGAAATTATAGTTTGACTTATATAAATGAGAATGAACAGTAACAGGGTAGTATATGTCTTCTAAGAAAATGTGAGGGTTTTGTTTTTTTTTAAACTAAAAATCTTTGGATTTGGTAGTCTGATATATGATTTTGACCTGAGTGAACACCCAGTAAAAGCACTGTCTGACAATTGGAAGTACACTGCAAGTACGCACATGCACACACAGTGGTTGTGTTTTGCACTACACATAGATTGATAATTTGATTTTATACTTGTGTCTCATTATCCTATTTGACATCATTTCACTTAAGGAATCTTCGAATCTCTAGCTATTTAGTGGGCATCTAATAGTTTAAACTTATACTTAATTTTACCTGGATATATTACAGCACCAATGTCAGGAATTTTGAAGTGGTGGCAGCAAGCACAAAGAGAAGTCGGAGAAAAGAGCAAGAGGAAACAGATATGAATGAGTTACAACACAATCTTTTTAATGAAGAGGATACTGTTAAAAAGCAAAAAGAACCATGACAGGTTTTAGGGATATACTCAGCGGACTGAAAGTTAAAGACACATATTTAAGCCAATCGAAATTCGTACATGATATAAATTATTACCATAAGTTTGTATAGCAGAAAAGGGTGGAAATGCAGAAGAAACAAGAAAGAATAAATAGGATAGATTTAAAATTTTAATGTAAAGTAGAGATCATTGATTAATTGTAGAATTGCTATAAGAAGCATCCAAAACAAAGTGAATAATTTTACTTCTTTCTGTGCTTTTTATTGCAACATTTATTATGTTTTGGATACTTCTTACAGCAACTCTACAAATAAACAACAACCCCTACTTTTTGTTAATTTTTTTTCCTAGTTATTTGTTCAGTTTTATATGTCTTTGGAATAGACACAACATCAATAACCTTTCAGTATAGCCATATCCCTGATAGCTATAACCTTTACATGAATTAAAACCACAATCAAAAGCTTATAAAATGTAATCCTTACTTTAGCCTACAGATAAGTGTATAAAGGTGCCTAAGTAGGGATTAAAATTTATAAATTTGTAATTGTGGTTTTAATTCTTGTTTCACTACTTTTTGTAGCAGGATTCCTACTTCATTTTAAAATTCATCATTTTTAATACTCTTGTTTGTTTACTTTTTATGTTATACCTGTATAAAGTATATAACTTTACCTTCAGAAACTGTCGCGTCTATTCATCGATATGTAGCGCCATCTGTTGGGTTGAAATGATATTTTAGTATGCGCAAGATATGTTTACCATTTATAAGAAAATTATATATATATTTATCGAAATATCAAAAGTGGATACCCACATACTAATCAAAATAAGCTGGGGAAATCTTGCAGTGATAGTCCAAGCCGTCTCCGGGCTAGCCCCGCTGACTTGATCAGGTAGGTAGTAGACGAAAAAGTTGCTGTTTTAAACATTTTTGAATTGTTGGCCACCTTTTTAGCGTATTATTAGTATATATGTACATAATATATCGTAACCAATACTTTGAATGATTCTTTTTTCGCTTAGGAATTCAATAGGGTGGATTTTCGGTACGTGAATTATTTGGAAACCTTGTTGATCCCTACTATTAAGTTCTACCGTAAGCGTCATGAAGTAATGTATATGACAAGATAAATAAGTACATATTAATGATATAAACTGTGGAACGTGATTCATTATTATCATTATTTATTTAATTTGATTTTGCGGTAACAGAGGAGGAAGAACCTTTGAATCACAGTCTGGCATGCTAACCACTGGTTCGCTATCGCTCAGATAAGAAGGACATCAGAAATCTTATTAACGAAGTAAACTGATAAATGTATGGAAGGGAATGCTTTGGATTTGTAAGTCGTGTAAATTATCTCAATCTTCATTGGAAATACTGAGAGGTTAGCCGTGCAGCTATAATCTAGAACAAGCCGGATTCAAACTTTATGCTTACCCGCAATTTGGATAGTATATCATATGAAAGAAGACCATAACATAAATGTGAGTAAAAAGTGTCTATTCCTGAGCTACCGAAAGGTAAGCTATTCCCACATCAGTGAAGCCACCCTGGCAGTATCTATAAAAGTATAAAGCCCTAGTTGCCCCAAGGGAAATGTCGCGTGCACGAATAAATAATATCTTATTTGTTTATTGTTAAGCATAAAGCTATACAATAGGCTCTGTGAACTGTCCTCCATACGGGTATCGAAACCTAGATCTTAAGACTTGCTGCTGCACCACTTGGGGCATGAATAAGGTAATTCTAATATAAATTGTTTTACATTAACTATGATCTTAAATGTCAGATTTAAAACAAAACAGTAAATATATTTCAAAATGAAATATGAGACATAAAGAATAATAAATGCAAAAACTTTTCACTTACACTGTTGTTTCTGCAAGAGAAGGCCATCCTGTGGCTCAGCGCTATGTCTAAGAACTTATAACGCAAAAAATCGGGTTTCGATACCCGTGGTGGGCACAGCAGAGATAGCCTATTGTGTAGCTTTGTGCTTAACTGCAAACAAAATGCGCACTTTGGGGCTATAGGTGTATTATGAGAGTTAACGTAAAACTACAATATTCGATTATACAGGAGTAGTCTAAAAGATATTGTCGGTATTGTTGACTAGCTACCTCTCATTTAGTTTATGAATACAAATTTTGAATGGCTATCTCCAGTTAGCCCTTCTGTAGATTTGCGCGGAATTATGACCAAGCTTTCACTGTTTTCTAATGTACTGAGAAGTGCAGCAAATGAAATTAATGGTACAATTATTATGCAAAAAAAGGTGTTTCACACTCTGTTTTTAATCATCTATATTATATTTCTCGATTTCAAAACTACAATCATTGTTTTTAAATATCTCATATTGATAAAGTAAAATGTATCTCAAATTTTTGGATACTTTTAGTAATAGAAGTTGTACAAAATGAAAGTTTTTTAAAGTGATCAATAACACTAATTACAATTTTGCAGAAACAGTTAACGTATTAAATGTGGAAACATCTGTTATCTGAGTTCTTGCACAGATCTTAAAATATAACGTTGATAAACGGAAACATCGGCACATGTAGATCTTGAAAGTCGAGTTGTTCACAACTTAAAAATAGCGTTGATAACTGGACCAATTGTTGCAAAGGAAATATCTGCTGAAGCTTTTCGCCAGACACTAATCATAGCAGAACTACCTGGAAAAATGATCTATAGGAAATTGTACAGCTTATAAAATAAGTCAGATCAACGTAGGCTGGTAAGGCAATCACTGATTGGCATATCCTTTAGCCAATCAGGAAATGTCACAGATCTACTGAAGGATGTGTGG